TAAAGGCAGGAATCCTTGAATGTTTATGCCCAAATGGATTGGGTTAATCCAGCCATTAATGAAATACATATTTTCATTTCTGACCAACTGTCTTTCATCTCAGTTTTGTGCAAATGGCGATGTAGTGAAAGTTATCCGTGGACGAAAGGTAAGACACTAAAGAAAAGCATTTGGTAAGCAAAGAACTCCCACAAAACCTATTGCTTGATGTTTTAATACAAAGGGAAGTGTATGTTACACAAAATGGTTTGTATTTTAGTATTTCCTAAATCTTCACTTGACATGAAAAAGTATTTCATGGAAGAATCACTGAGCAACTGAACAAAATATGCCTTCATCCAAAAGTAAGTATTCATGGGATCCATGCTCACTAAAGAGAAAATACTTGGAGCTGTCACTACTTGCATGTTAGCCAACCAAGATCAGTTTAGGAGAAAATTAACTAAGAAGCCGATCAGCACAGAGTTCAATTAACACTAACATTTACTGCAGAAGAATGAATAAAGAAAACTTCTATATGCCATACAAAGCAGCTGAAGTCTGAAGTTCACATTTTTCAACTGATTCAACTGTAACTGATTTTTTTTCTTGCTGGACTTTTTAAAAAGCATCCACCCACAATATTATCATAATAACTCAGAACTTGCTGGCAGCTAAAAAGGTTCATTTTGGCTTTTGTAAAATGTACACACCACTGAAGAACAGATGTACTCTGATTTATCTTCCTAGAGAAAATAGAAGGTACTAAACAAGATAGTTTGAGTCTATTAATGCACTGATTTTACTACATTCTGCACCCATTTTAAACCAGAAGAGATTAAAATACATCATACTACGATACTGCCAGTTTTAAAAGCATCCAATTAATATTTTCTTTGTCAAAAATGTTACCTAAAAGCTTTTTTTTGAACCTATCGCTTAAAATGGTTCATGTTAAAATTCTTGGAGTGGAGTAAGGGTTCCTTTACTGCTGCAATAAAAAAAATATTAGGAACATTCACCACTTTCTGAATTCTTGCATTTAGTTTGCAATTCATTTCATTCTTGGATTACTGCTAGAAGGGAAAAAAAATCCCTTTATTATTCATCCACAGAAATTTTACAAAAATACAATAGTTATTTGAGTTGAGGAAGGTGGTCCCTGTGACAGCAGAACAACTACCAGAATAACTTCCTTCATTTGTCTTTGAAATAACTAGTGGTTGAGATGAGGTAGTGTACTTGAGAAACCATTTGTTGATGTCAGATGACAATTTCTGTAATCATACATCCTGTGATTGCTTAATGCTGTCCTATGACAAAAATATCTACTCTTCCAGAAAGGTTCTTCAGTCTTAGAAAAGGTGATTTATCCATCAACAGCAAATGCCTCAGGAAAGTCAAACTAAATGGGAAATCCTGAAGAACAGCACTTGTTGCAGGTTGGTTGGCTGTGTTTTGTTTTGTTTTTTGTACATTACAGCAGTCTCATTCAGCACAATGTGAAACATCCAGTAGTTCTTGAACCAAATCACACCTCTACTGTAAATTAAGCCTAACTCCGACCAGACCAAGTGCATTTAACCAAGGCGCAACATTCCCTCTGAGAAGACCTGTTACCTTCTTTATTATCTGCAAACTGGAAACTCCAAAGACAATATGGTCACCTTCAGGCTTCTCCAGGGTCTTGCAGCCAGTGGGATCACCATGAAAACTATGTATGCCCTCCCCCCTTATAATGGACAATACTTCTTTCACTATTTGGTGTTTGATAGGGTCACGCAGAGGTCTTGTGCCTCACTGTGTTCCTATGCAAAGGTATAAAGCTGTGATAGTTGTTAATGGGTTCCCTCAAAATCAGAAGCCTGCAGTACATCAAAAGGTCTGAAAAGTAGGGATTAGAAGATGGATCAAAAGACTAGACATCAACAGTTTTTAAAGGATGTAGTTACTACATAGCAAGAAACAGTTTTATAAGTACATCAGAGGGAATTTCAGCACATACGTGTGTTGGAGAACACCTTGGCATTAAAAAGGAAATTCAGTAACCCACGCCAGCAAGTACAAACGAACAGTAAAAACAAGAGCTGAATCATTCCAACAATTGCAGCACTTTATCAGACTTCATACATTCCCTCTGGAGCAGAAACTTGTGTATTTCACGTTATCCTCCATGACAAAATGTCCATTATAATAGACCCCCAGTGAGAAGATGTGGTCTGTGACAGATTCCAAAGAACCATACATACTTGGTTGTGCAAAGCCTGTTTAAACGTTGTGACAGGTTTCTGACAACTCCTGGGAGCTGGAGACCACAGGGAGATAGCACCAGTGAGATTAACCATTTCTACAGTCTGATTATTTCTACAGCAACAACACAGGCTGTACTGCATTGCAATTATTTTTGTTACATGCATCTCAACAAGGAATTTGGAAAATTTCACCAGTGGCCTGCATAATTCTGGCTTGGGTGATACTGAAATGATGCTGAATTTCCAGCGTCCCTGTGTACTGCCTGAAGAAAACCATTCACAGACTCAGTAATGGTCATGCATGCTGTGGTATCGGTGCTGATACCAACTTCTGGCCAACAGCACCACCCCGTGTGCATCACCTTTCTGGCTGGTGATACTGGCTGCTTTACTAAGTAGATTCCATAGACTGGTCATCAGCCTGAAAAGACACCTGCAGATTGGGATTGTCCTAGGCAGAATTTTATCACTGCACGTCAGCACTGGGGAAAGGCACACCTTTCTGGGAGGGCATGTGCTTAAGGAACAAGTCTAACCAGTAAAGGTAAGCCAGATGTTGGGCCAGATCACTTATAAACAAGAAACACAGGTCCAAAGATGCCCACCAGTGTTCACAACTAGCAGAATGGATATTTGCTAGGGTTTTCAGCCAGTCCAGTATGTTGAAGAGGGAACTGTGGGAGGACTACTCCAATCTCTGTCCTGTTGCAGAGAGAAATAGGCACAGGGCATGTTGTACCGATGCATTTTGCACTAGGTAACGTTCAATATGCACAGAGCACTCCTGTAGCATGATCCCAATTACACATTCTAGGAGAAGTGCATCCAAAGGAATTGACAATCAGATTTTAAAATGCATACAACACCAATTTTGTATACCTTCCCTCATACACTTAATAAAACATCTTTGGTGTAGCCTTAACGTTCGTGTAGAAACATTTGTTTCTAAAATGTTTCTAAAATTTGTTTTAAAATGTCATTTTTTAAACTCTTGATATCACGTATTGGTCATATTTCTCAAGTTTTTTTGTTCCATCTCTATTCTACACTATTCCTAAATTGAGATTATTACTGCGGTATCTTAGTGTCTTTTAGAAGCTGAAACAGACCTGAGACATCTCTTCAGAAATTCCTCATTTGGTATTTCAAGCAAGGCAGCTGCCTGAAAGCTTCACTAGCCATTAAACTCGAGAGCTGTGAGAAAGTGCTTTTCTCAGCCAAGTCTTTATAACGCTTTTCTTCCTGCACTCATCCCTTACGACAGCATGCTTTATCTACACATTATTATTTGCCAGATACAATCTTTGCCAGACAAAGTCTCTGAAGGGCTATAGCTTTTGTCCATGCCTTTCTTGCTCATTAGTTAATTACTAAAACTTCCTTTCAGTTAGCCTTTATATGGTTATTTCAAGGACATTCTGCAACGTAATACAAGTCTACTAGGTACTAAACAGTTACAGCTGTCTGATCACTGTACCGAAAACAGGACCAGCCCCAGGAGAGGGGCATTCTGCACTGATTCATTCCCAGCAGAATTTGGTAAGAGACGACAGCAAGTCTTATTTCAGTTGCGTCTGTTTAACTATCTGGACATTCAATTACTACATTCCTTTTTCTTATTCAACACACACTGCTGAAATGCTTTTCATGTTCCATTTTTACCTTGCCCAAAACCACTCAACTTATCCTTCCTAAATATATAAGCCAAATGCTATGCCTTGTACGTGGGCTATACAGACAGCTCTCTGTTAGTTCACTCGTTACCCATTCAATAACCTTAATACACTCAAAGGTCAAAAAATAATAATCAAGGGTATCTTGAATTTTTAAGTTGAATCTTGAAATCTTGAGTACTTACGTGGGTCTCCCCCTCTATATTTAGAAGATATTTCTGTAAGTTTAAGACATTTTAGGAGGCACAGCAAAAACTAATTTATGATCTTATACATATCCTTGTACACATTCTGTATTAAATATGCATTTATCTTAATGCTGCAGCATTTTGCAATGGCTTGTAATTTATTTATTTATTTTTAAATATATTTATCAGACAATTCCTACTTGCTATCATCACTGGGTATTGGTGATATGCACTGAACAGACTGGATCCCACTCTCCAGCACAGGCTTTTTCTGTCATGAAGAATGGAGCAATCTCAACATCAAACCAATTCCCTTAGATGGGGTGTTTTAGGATGTCTTTATAGTTTAGAAGCCAGTCATACTGAAGCACAGGCTGCAGCACAATCAGTTGACACAGCTCTTAAGATATTTTGTCTCCAAGAAGGTAAGATGGATGTTAGATCACATTACACAACATATTGAAAATAAAAAGAACCATGATAAACCAAATTATCAAAATACTAATAGATCACTTGCAAGAAACTAGCTGGATCATATGGCAAATCTTAAATAAATTGTTTTTCTATGTATTTCTTAACAGCATATTTTCTGTTTTCTTATACTGAAGAATTGTTGGAAAAAAAAATCATCTTTCAATGTCAACAGCACTTAGTAATGTGTCTTTATCTAGAGTTTTAGAAGCACCAAGGAAACACTGTTCCTCAGTAGGAATTAATACATGTAGTATTAGTCTGATAAACAAAGAGAGGAAACACCACATGAGAATTTCCATGAGCAAAATAAAATTGGCAGTTTCCTTTCGCTGGGAGAGAACATGAAGCTGAGAAAGGAAAAGAAGTCAATATTGATGCTAATATAGAAGGATAAATGGTTTTTAAACGTGAGAAATAAACAAAAATCAACTTACCAGTACTGTTCTCCCATGGGAAATAAAGAAGTGGCCAGATACAACAATGGTAAGGATAAGATGACCAGATTCTTCATTTGATTCAAAAACCTTTAAAAAGATTGACAAAATAAAAATCCATCCCTGTATGCGCAGAATCTACACTTCCCATTTCTGGTACAAAATGAGAAAGGCTTCAGAGGTCAGTGCTGGAAGTCAGAGGTAAAAGTACCTCCCAGAAATGTACCTGGCCTCCAGCCCCCAGACAGCAGGCAGAGTCAAGAAATATTTACTAATTAGAGCCCCATACGCAGACCTAGCTACTTTGAAAAAACCCATGACCTCTTCGGACTTGATCTATTGCTTTTAATACAGTGAGTGGGTCACTTCTGAGGGACAAGGAAAAAAGCAGGCCATTAACAGATATCACTAATATCATTAACAGGTTTAATTATTAATTCACAAAGGAAAACGCCTCACTGCCTGTGTTAGCTTCATACTCCCAAGGCTAGACAGACCCACCCAAGCAAACTAGTTTAAGAAGAGGAAAAGGCGTGATATTGTAGCATTTTTATTACTATTATTTTCCACCGTTTCACGTTTAGTTTTCACTTGATTATTGCTAAAATAACAAAAGACCCTCCGCGGCTCGGGTGACAGCTACAAACGCCACCCATTTCCACACACGGAGGGCCAGGATAGGAGTTTTGAGGGCAGCAGGACAGAGAAAAGACCCCGGTACCCGGCCACCTGCCAGGAGGAGGCGGTTTGCTCCTCGTCGCCGTCCGTCGGGGGCAGGAAGCGGCCGTAGCGCTGCAAGGGCCACGTCGAGGCGCTGCCTGAGAGGGAGCCGCCTCCACCGCCCGCCGCCATCTCGGCCCTGAGGTGGCTGCGGCTCCTCAGCAGGTGCGGCAGCAGAGGCGGGAAACGGCAGCCAATAGAAGAGAGGAGAGAACGCGGGAGGGGTCTCCTCCACCAATCAGCGAGCACCAGGGAAACGAGAGCCAATCCGGTAGTGCGCTCGGGCTCGCGCGGACCGTTATCGCGGGCGGTTGTTCTCCCCTCAGCGCCGCCATTTTGAGTGGGCTCGGCTGTTGTTTTGTATGCTGAGGAGATCGGTCGGTGACGCCTGCATCTGTCCTTCTTCGGGTGAATAATTTCTGAGTCCATGTAGAAAAGTTATCCGAAAACCTAGTGTACCTTTTAAGTTCTTGGTGCAGTGATGTGTTGTGTTAAGTTCACAGAACTAAAATGGAACTTTTGTGGTACCTAAAGTAGGAGCTATGCTAAATGTCAAAAAGCATTTTTTTTTTAGTGTGTTGCTTTTTGCTAGCCAGCACAGGTTTGTACAGATAGACTAATAAATCAAAATTGCACTTCTCTTCCATTTTGCTTCCTCTCTGCTATTAGGTTGCTCCCAGAGTTATGTAATTTTACACTTTATCTAGAAAAAGAGTGATGGCAGGATGACTCATAGTAAGACTGCACTTATGTATTCCATTTATAGTGCATATCTTGGCACATTAGCAATAGAAATATGTGCATTAACCACCCAAGGTCAGCGAGGGGGCATGAAAGAGCCTGGAAGATGTCTGTGAGAGCCTGTACTAACCTGTGCTGACTTTAGGGATGTTGGTTCATCACTAACCACCATTAAACCATTTTCGTTTGCATACCTGAGGGTTCTGTGCTGATACCATTAATCCTAAATGTGAGTGTTGCTACTGCCAGCGGCACGTGCTTGGCCAAGGTGAGGCTTGGCTAAATAGTCATGTTACTGTTAAATTAAACAGAACAAAAAAAAAAATGTGTATTCTTTTGTTGATGATGTTTTGTTTGTTTGTTTGATTTTTTTGTGTGTGTGTTTGTGTCTTCTTGTTGCCTTTATAGTTTGCCATTTTGTTGCCAGCTTTGTTTATATGTGTAAGGTTAAAATGGCCTGAGTAACTACTGTCTCATCTGAAATAAAGCCTCTGGGTACAAGGTTAACTTGTTACTTAACCTGGGATGGTTCAGTCTGTTAGAAAACGATAGATCGGCATTTATGTCATGTAGCAGTTGTGTTGTCTTCTGTCTGGTATTACAACCCAAAAGCCAGGCTAGTATCTGAGGAACCATTTTCCTAATAAACAATTTTAGGATGTTTTTCAAAAAGAAGGTGTTTATCTGAATGTTTTGCAGATAGGGGAGCACAGGCAGAAAGGCATTAAATGACTTGACAAGGTCATCTAGAAAAAAATCAGTAATGGAACAGGGAATAGAGCGTGGGCCTCCAGCTGCCAGTTGCTTTCTCTAATCACTGTTTTCCCATGAGGATTTCTCAAATTCTGCTTGTCAAATGTTCAGAGTTGGCTTGTAAACTTGGGACTTTCTTGGAAACTACAGAAGAAAGTAATATAAATGTCAGGGAAGAATAGTATGAATACATGTATTGAATCAATTTTCCCCTAATTCAGCAGAAGTTATAGAAAATGGTTTGTTTGCAGCATCTTCTAGTGTCTAGTTTTCCAAGAGTGATTTATGGCAGATGTGCTAAAAGATTCTGGAGGAGGAAAACAAAAGCTCCGTATTTTAACAAAGCAAAAATTTCAAAATGTGGTTTTGAAAGTGGGAGAAGTAAACTAAGAGCATCGTATACTTTTATCAAACCTTTTAAAAATAACACTATTGATGTTATGAAAAGAAGGAATTATTAGCAGGACAGATGGCCGGTTGCAGTGTAGAAAAAGGGTATGCAAATTCTTTCCTTCCCAGCCTTGTTAGGGTACCTCAATTTTTTTATGCAGTGCTTGCATTTTTTATTTAGATCTTTGTAGTCTAAATACAGTTGCCAGTGCAACTCATCAGTGATTGTGCAGTATCTCATATTGCTCTTGTCTAGAGATATCAGTCACAACCACACATAGTTTTGATGTGGAACCTTAATGTGACTTTAGCACTGCTTACTTTTCCAATCATAGTTTTTGTTTGACAAGGGTTTGCTTCCTGTTTTACAGTAGTGTGTTAAGATTTTATATGTGTGTAGGGTAAGGTGTGATCCAGGAGAAATAACAAGTGTGAAGTGGAAATACAGGCATGCTCTTGCTGATTCTGATTTCTTTGGGGATTGCATGATAATTTTGTGTTCATAGAGTAAAGATGTAGAAAGATTGTTAAAATGTTAATTTTTATTTATTTATTTATTTATTTATTTTCAAAAGGTGAATAAGTTTGCCAATTTTCTTTTATTTTTCTTTCCTAAGTTTCAGTATAGAATACAGAAAAAAGAAGACTAGCAAGTGAGCCTGACAGGTTAATATGTGCTTCATCAGAGATGAGATAGTAAATCGCACGTATGTGCTCAGGGTTTATCATTGTGGTGTACCTCAGGTTTGCTTGACACTTTGCAGATGGTAGCAGTAAAAGTTAATTCTCTCCCTGCGAGTGTGTAGCGCTGTTACTGAGTTTTTTTGGGAAGCCTTCATGGGTATATAGTATCTGACAAGCTAAAACAGTTCTGTAAAAGGCAGTAGTATATAGAAAGTAAGCATTCCTATTGTCCTCATAAAATGGCCTTTTCTGTTAATTCGAGGAAGGGAAAGATGTCTGGAAGGTGAAAGCTATTTTAAAAATGGTTTGGGTTGGGACACTTTAAATAATTTAATCCCTTAAAGTGGCAAGTTCCTTAAACAGGTGAGATTTATAATTCTTTCCCTCTCTTGTCAAATCACTGTGTGGCTTACCCCCGTCTTTTACTCCATCACATGGTACCGGCTGGATTTTGCTGAGGTGTTGGTCTGGTAATATGTCAGTCTGGGTGTTATGTTTCAGTCAGCCAGCAATCTGCTCATCAGTTTCCATCAAGAAAAAACAGGTAACATATTTTCTGTTTGAAACATTAAAAAAAGCTAAACAGCAGTTATAATTGAGTGCATTTAATAATCCACACAGTGCCTCTAAGGTCTAAAGTGAAAGGGAGCCTATTGGTACGGCTGATTTATCTTCATGAAGGAGGATTGTTAATGATCTCTTGCATCTCTGTTAACTCTATTATTTTCTTCTCAACTTCTTTTGTTCCCCATCTTCTTTTGTTGTTTCAAGTGTACCTTACCTTCATCAATTTGCTTGTTTCAAGTACTTCATTTCATTTTTACTAGTCTCCTTACAACCTCACCCAGCCACCTTCATGGTCAGGACTTCAAATTTATTCTCTCTGCAACTGTTGCTTGTAGGGCTTAGTGACCAATCTACTTTGTTACCAAATGCGTGCTGCCTATTGATATGTGTAGATATTAAATGTACAAGGAAATGCTACAGAGAAGAGAGACTGTTAAACAATAAATGTTTTTCTGTCTTGCAACTTGAACATACCCTGATTTAAAAATAATCCCACTAGCTCAATTTTTCCTTGTAAATGTTCCTGAAAATTGCAGTCTGGTACTTCCCAAGAAAACTTTTCAACCATTAGTGTTCTTTTGATTGCATGTTAATGTCATTGCCAAAACAGCTGTGTCCATTCAATTCAGAAAGATGTCCTTTTACTTTACTTTTGTAATTTTCCCCTGGTTTTGTTTGCTATTTTGCTATTTATATATGTGCTTTCATTTTGCAATTTGTTCTTCTTGTGGTCTTAGGCTGTTGTAGCATGTGGAAAAATTAAAATACAAAGGTTAAAATGCAGGGTCTTTACCTTGTTGAATATTTAAAGCTTTTTGTTTTAGAGAGCCAGAAACAGAGAGGTGCAAGCAGGAAGAGAGATCTGTTCCTGCACAATATGGATTTGATAATGTGCTAAAAATTGTTTTTCCTCAGAGAAGATGAGAATAGATTTGTTACTGTTTGAGAGTAGGGCAAAATGATGTGTACTAGCCTGGATTGTCCAGAATACATGACTGTTGGTTTTGGTCCTAGTGTTGTGTTTTTTTTTTTTAAAGCAATTTACAGTGTTAATTGTAATACTGATGGTGGTGATAACAGCAATAACTTTCTTACTAAGTTTGAGTGTATGTTTGCCAAAAGTGCCCGCTTTCACAAGTTGGACAAGTAATGTATTAACAAAATAGGGGCTACCAGATGCATGAAATGGATAGAATTAGTGACCAAAGCTGCTTCCTATCCATTCTGAAGGTTTCCCAGTGGTACTGACAGCTTACCATCCTCTTTTATCCAGCTGGAGGGATAAATAGAATTACTCACAGTGGCATATATAACAGGCTAGTGAAAATGTTCTATTCAGAACACTTGATTTATGGCTTTGATTTTTATAATAAACTGTGTTACCTTATGCTCAAGTTGCTTTGTTAGTAGCTGTGTGACTTCCTCTGAAACTGACAGGTTCATTTCCATTAATCAATGTCTCACATAGTTAATTGGTCCTTCTTTCATCTGAATGTGATCTGACAGTCAGAAGCCTTGCTGCTCAGATTTCTCAGTGCTAATGAAATTACAGCATCTCAGTATTTGATTATTACATAGCAGTTCTGTATCCATCACAAGAATGTCTTCATGCAGGTCTGTCAACATATGTCAGCATAGAGAGAGATGAACTCAGAGGTTGCAGCAGTTTGAAGCCAAGTGCCATGTGATGCTGCAGGCCCACTGTGATGGCCTCTGCTGTCCTAAGGAGTGTCAGAAGTTCACACACCTGCTGAGAGACCTCTTTTCCCAGCTGTTGAGCTGCAGCCATTGAATCTTCCTCATGATTTTTATCCTGTTTCACTTTTTTCCTTGTTGAATTGTATGCCTTGCAATGAGTTTTAAATTTCTAAGTGGAAAAAAAGGAAACAAATTGGACTATTTTCTGAGTGACAAGATTTCACTCCTGCCTTACAAAATAGCAAAAGTCTGACTTGAATTAGGCATCAGGCTGAGATTGATTTTGCAGATAGACTTCAGAGTTGCTCTTTTTGGTGGTCATATCAAGATTAATAATTGATGGATGTTCTGCCATTGAGGCAGCGCAAGAATTAAGTGATCCTTCTGGCTTAGGGTCTTCCAGAATTTTTAAGCAGTTGATCCTTCTTGTTCTCAAAATCAAAACATTTCCTCCAAAGAAATTTTCTTTCCAGAAGTTTGTCTGCATGTGTCTCCAGAAATTGTTTCCATAAGTACGCATGCTGTTGCCGTTTATCTAATGGTGATGTTCCTAACTTGTCAAGCACTAT